TCACCGCACCGGGCGCCACCTTAGCACTCGGTCTGATGTTCTTCGATTCGGGCAACACAGCGATTGCCGAATGGATGCAGCCACCCGATTCACGCTATCTGCTGGATATGGTGCGACCTGATTTCCTTCTATTGCGCACCATTGCCCGTGGCCTGATCCTCTGGCAGCAGGTGAGGCCGGACAACGATTGGTTCCAGGCCCAATTTCCGCAAACCCTACGCGCACATCTGCGTCTGCCCACGCGCGAAGACGAGCCGCCCGAGGACAGCGATGTGGACTACGAGGCCATTACGTAAGCTCATCCGCACCACAAATCCTGGTTTGTCATAGGTAGTTCATATACTTTTTCTCTCTGCAGGCAAGCCTATTGCAATATCTTGGCTGGCGCCGCCTTCTGCATTGGCCTCAAGTATGCGGGCACTGAACATCCGGTGGCCTTTACCACTTTGCGCACCGTTATCAAGGAATTCCTCAGCTTTCCGGGCACTCCGATGGGCGAGTGTGCCGGCCGCACCACCATCGAGAGCTGTTTGATGGTGCTGCTCATATCAATTTCGCTGGTCTTTGCCGGCTCCGGCAATTGTGAAATCTTGCGCATAATCCGCTATTTGAGATCACGTGTGGGTCCCCAATATCCGCACATCACGTATGGCTCCCACATGGCCATACACATGTCGCTGGGCCTGCTGTTTTTGGGCGCTGGCCGCTTCACCATAGCCAAGACACCAGAGTCCATAGCCTCTCTGGTCTGCGCCTTCTTTCCCAAGTTTCCCATTCACAGCAACGACAATCGGTGAGTGGTCTATAAATTGGTTAGATATATATATATATATATATTTGTATATTCAAATTGTGTGTGCTTTCAGCTATCATCTGCAGGCGCTGCGTCATCTGTACGTGTTGTCCGTGGAGCCGCGTCTCTTTCTGCCACGTGACATCGACACACATCAGCTCTGCCTGTGCAACATTTCGGTGCTGGAGGTGGGCTCCACGGAGCTGCGCCGCCTGCCCATTGCTCCTTGCATACTGCCCGAGCTGAGCACACTGCAGCAGGTCGTGGTCGATGATGAGAACTATTGGCCCATCTGCTTTGAGCGCTCGCGCAATTGGCATCAGCTGGAAAAGGCATTGGAGCTGAGCGCTCCGATCGACATTAAGAAACGAACTGGACGTCTGTCGCATCTGGAGGATCCGGATCGTTTGAAGAGCATGCTAGCGCAGACTCTGACCATGGAGCAGAGCATCTGCTGGCAGGTGGATGTAAATGATTTACAACAGTTTGCCAGCGAGAGGCTGGTCAAGCCCTTTCTCAGTCGTTTCCTGGACACGAAGGGCACGAATCTCAGCTATGCTGAGCAAAGCAAACGGCATCAATTGATGCTTTTGTTCTACAATGCTGTGGTCAAGGATCGAATGCATCTGCTGCCCGTTTACCTAACGCTCTACGATGTAAGTCTGATGTGATTAATTATTGATCTTCAGTTAAGGCATCCTTTCTATTGCCCACAGCACGTCACCAAGCAGATGGCCAACAACAACGATGTGTGGCAGGTGAAGCTAATCGAAGCCTATTTGGGCAAAAGTCCCAATGATGAGCATTCGCTAATCTCTGTGGAACTGATTCAAATGATGCAAGAGATTTCAAAGCTAAGTCTGGAGCAGGCGGCACGTGAATTTTGTATACCATTGCGTGAATTTCTGACACAGAAGCGTCTCGATCCCAGCTACGTGGCCAGCATCTGTGCCCAGGATCTACAGCGTGTCTTTTGTGTCATCAATTACTTCAACTTGATGCCGAATATGCTGTCTAGCATTGACCTGAGCAACGGACCGATTAATTATCTGCGCATTATGGTCGAGTTCAACAAGTTGCAGCTAAGTCCACACACCATATACGGTGTGCTTAAGATATTCCAAGCGCTGGCCAACGAAGGTGCTGAGCAACAGCAGGAACCGACTTTCTAAGAATTCAAATAAGTACACGATTAAATTGACTATCGCTCGAAGGCTTACAAACGTTATCGAAATCGTTGACATTCTTAGCTTGAGCCTTAATATCGAGATACAACACTGTCAGTTGCGCCTTGCAACACTTGATATACATATGCCTTTAACACTGAGATTCGCTGTTCAAATTATTACAAATAAGAAATGTAATTTATGTTAAACAACGTTGAAGTAAAAATATATAAATTCAATATAAAAGTGATCTTGTTCATTATTATCGATGTTGCACTCAGCTATCGAGTAAACTCAAGCTGTCGATAAAATCGGGCGCCTAAAATTTGCAGATTTCAAATTCTGTTCAATAAGAATATAATTTATCAAATATATGTATATACATATATGAATATATGCATATATAAACTACAACTATTTTGTAAAATATTGCACATTCATGCAAAAACATATACATATAAATCTGGAAGCAAAGCGGACCTTATACTAAACGATGCGCTGATGCTCGGCGGCTGTAGTTTCCCCAATCTTCCGGCGTGAGAATCGTTGATATAAATAAATGCCCAGCAACGGAAGCGGCGTCATAATGGCCACTGACACCGGCACCACTGTGGTCAGATCAGCCTGCGGCTGTTCCAAGGTGGTGCGCAAAAAGAATATCGCGATGCCCGTGTTCTGGATGCCTGTCTCGATAGCAATAGTCAATGAATCCGAAGCACTTTGATTCAACAGCTTGGCAGCCAGCCAAGCGACCGTGTAGCCAAGTCCGGGTAACGCCAAGCCAGCCACGGCGATCTGTAGACGAGGAGAATTGGTTGTGATTCCATTTATATACATAGATCAGTTAGGCCACTTACCTGCCAGGAGAACAGCTGGAACAGATAGTAGTTCGTGATGATGGCAAATATCACAATGAAGAGTATTAGACATGCAGATATGGGCTTCAGCAGACGCACCAGCACCTGGGTCACGCGCGGCAGCCAACGCTGGATGGCCAGCCCAATTAACAACGGCACAATCAGAGCTGCACAGTAACTGGCAATCTTTCCGTACGGAAGCACCATGCCAGCGCGCTCGAAGATGAGCTGACCCAGCGTAAAGACCCAGAGCGGCATTGTGGCAAAGGCTGCCACATTACTAACAGTGGTCATTAGCACAGAGAGATTGATATTCGCGCTAAGCACTGCCGACCAAGTGTTCGATGCACCGCCGCTCGGGGCGATGCCCGTAAAGAACAGGCCCAGCTGCATGGCCGGTGAGTCGGGAAAAATGAAGACGCCCAGGGCATAGCTGAGAAGGGGCATACCCAGGACCTGGGTGATGAAACCAATGCAAGGTCCAACTGGGCGCGTGATCAACCCCTGCAGGACGTCCACATTGAGTGCAGCACCAAAGTTAATGTAGACCAACGACATGAGCAGAATGATGGAGCCAACGAAAACGTGATCGATGATCCGCTCCGGTCGCACCACCTGCACCAGCACTGTGCTATCATTGTTGCCGGCATTTTGGGGCGCCGAACTGGTGTTTTTGGTTGCATCATAGAGCCGCACCTGGATACGGGCCTCGCCGAGAAAGTATGCATCGATGCGTATACTGCCATTCCATTGATTGTGCTGCACGTCCTCCATGGAGATGCTTGAATTCACAGCAGGCACACTGGCCAACTGAGCGTGTGTACTTTGCAGCCGGAAGCTATAGCGATCTGTCATCAGCTGCAGATCATCAGTTATGTCGGACAGTGTTAGATGCACTGTGTGGCTGCGCTCCATTTCCAGTTGAAGCAGCGCAGGCTCAAAGCGCGCCTGCCAACTGGCGCTGGGTAGCACCTGTTGGCCCAGCATCAGTGCCATAAAAAGGCAAACGTTTCCGATAGACATTGCAATCCACTAATGAATTGCAATGCAAACGAATCTTATTTCGTAATCACGCACTCAACAAGTCGTCAACAAATTATGAACAGACAGAAACACCAAATGTGCCGTGTGTATGTTGCCACTGCAATGAAAGTCTGTGCAGTTATTTACAACGAAAAACGTGAATGACACTAACAAAGAGCGGCACAGAGAAAAACAGAGAGAAAGAGAGAGAGAGAGAGAGAGAGAGCTAGCTAGATGAAGTGTGAAACAGCTCTAACTACTCTTGCTTATAGTGAGAGTGTGCTAAGCATACAGAATCACAACAACAGATAGCAGATAGCGTATCGTTCGTAGGCCGAGATGGAACTCTGATTGCGATATTGACTTACGTTCATTATCTTTCTAAAAACTACTCTTTCCTATAAATAAAATAATAAATGTCTTATAATTTTGTAGAATGTGACAAAACCTGTATCCCCTTTCGACTACGCCCTTGCAGAGTGCAAAGCCGTGCATACATAAAGAGTAATAACAGTTACACTCATACAGGTTGTCGCCATAGAACTGTGTATGTGTGCTCTCTAGCATGCAAATGTGGTGGTGTGCGAGCCAGCAAGCAAGAGTGCTGTATGTGTGTGTGGGTGAGCTTGCATGCTAAAACAGCTGGCGTCTGTGATTGAAATGTTGTTCACTGAGTGCAGAAGAGAGACAGAGAGAAAGAAGAAGAGTGCATTGTGAGCCGATCTGCCACTTTAGGCGCCGTTTTTTTTTGAACAGCTTTTTGAGCTTAATTAACACTGTTTGATCGAATTTGTTATTTGAGATTAGACTCAGTATTATAAAAATACAAAGTTAAAGCTTGAATTTAGGTATAAATTATTTTTTAACTAGTGACGAAAAAAAAATTAAAAAACAAAACATTTAGTTAAATTACGCAGCTCCTAAAAATGAATATTCTAGATTTGTACAAAGCTGCTTGGAATAATCTTTAAAGAAATCTTTGTGAAATATACTAAAATTAGAGCAGAATATTATTAAATAGTTTTTAATCTCCTTTTGGATTTATTCTAAGAAAAATGCCTATGTGAAATGTCATTGAATTTGATTAGAAAATGATTAAATTCGTTCAAGGTTTTAGATTTTATTGGAATTTAGAATAAATGCCAAAATGTATGTAAAACACGATCGCAAAAGGCTGTCAACGGAGGGAGGGTGAGGAGTGTGCTTTAGTATCTATAGTGATCGGGCTTGAAGGGTCCTGTCTTGGGCACACCCAAGTAGTTGGCCTGTTTGTCCGTCAGCTTGGTGAGTTTCACTCCTAGTTTATCCAGATGCAGGCTGGCCACCTCTTCATCCAGCAGCTTGGGCAGGACATGCACGCCGACTGCGTATTGGCTGGACTTGGTCCAAAGCTCAATCTGGGCGAGCACCTGGTTGGTGAAGGAGTTGGACATCACAAAACTGGGATGTCCATGTGCGCAGCCCAGATTAACCAAACGACCCTCGGCCAACAGGATAATATGTTTGCCGTTGGGCATGGTATAGCGATCCACCTGCGGCTTAACATTCACCTTCTCCGTGGCATTCTTGTTCAGCCAATCCACATCAATCTCGCAGTCGAAATGTCCAATATTGCACACAATCGAATCGTCGGGCATATTAAGCAGATGCACCGATGTGATAATGTCCCGGCAACCGGTGGTGGTCACATAGATGGAAGCCTCCTTGCTAGCCTCCTCCATGGTGGTCACCTCGTAGCCCTCCATGGCTGCCTGCAGCGCGTTAATAGGATCGATTTCGGTGACGATAACGCGACCGCCGAATCCTTTCAGCGCCTGGGCACAGCCTTTGCCCACATCTCCGTAGCCAGCCACACAGCAAACTTTGCCCGCAATCATGACGTCCGTGGCACGCTTGATGCCATCAATTAGAGATTCGCGGCAGCCATACAGATTATCGAATTTGCTCTGGATAGAATAGAGGGAGAGAGAGCGTGATGGATGATGGACGAAATACATCAAATCACTGTAAAAGATGCTTTACCTTGGTCACCGAATCGTTAACATTGATCGCTGGCACGCCCAATCGTCCCTCCTTGAACATTTTGTACAGATTGTGCACTCCGGTGGTTGTCTCCTCGCTGAGACCCTTGATGCCCTTCAGATAGTCGGGGAAACGCTCATGCACCAAATTGGTTAGATCACCGCCGTCATCCAGGATCATGTTCAGGGGCTGGCCATCGGGGAAGACGAGCGTCTGTTCAATGCACCAAGTGTACTCCTCATCGGTTTCACCCTTCCAAGCATACACTGGGACTCCAGTGGCAGCGATTGCAGCAGCCGCATGATCCTGTGTGCTGAAAATATTGCAGCTCGACCATTGCACCTAGTGGTTAGAGGGGATACTTCAACCAATTGTTCATATGGAGGAAGGCGTAGCTTAAGGCGACTAACATTGCTAACCTTCCCGTATATTTTGTGACGAAATCATCAAGAACTGATTTGACAAAGGAAATGGAATTGTTGACAAAGCCAATCTTGATTAGGATCGGAACATGCCTTCGCCTTCTAATTTAAATATGGAAGTAAACAACTTAGCATATCAATGGGTTCTTGTGCTGTGACCCTGGTGATCCCTTCTAGAGATTATTTGTATTTTTTGTTTGTTTGTTATCAGTGTTGGCGCCTTGAACTCACGCGCGACCCCCAAGCGAGAAAATAGAAATTTCGGTATTGTTATTTCGTTCGATTTGTGATAAGGACAACGGGCACATAGTAACAGAACTACAGGAGATTCTTGACTCACCTGAGCACCCAGCTCAACGAGGGTCTCGATGAGCACGGCCGTTTGCACGGTCATGTGGAGGCAGCCGGTGATACGGGCGCCTTTTAGGATTTTCGATGGGCCGTACTTCTTGCGGCATGCCATCAGGCCGGGCATCTCATTCTCCGCAATGATAATCGCTTTGCGGCCCCATTCAGCCAGACTGATATCGGCTAGAAGACAGACAGAGATAAGATACAATCGGCAAACAATATAAACAACGATTAGCACAACGTGCTTTAACCTCTGCCAACATGTGCGCATGCATATTACAAAAAAAAGAGAACAAACAAAACATGTGTGCGTCCGTGTGGGCAAATTTGCCGGCATTAGGATGCGCTGGTTTTATTTATAACTCACCAACTTTGTACGCGGGCTTGGACATCTTGGATTGGATTGCGAGTACAAAAATAGGATTAAGAGCTGACAACGACCGAGCTGACAACGCGCGCAACGGTAAGTGACCAAAAATATAAATCTCAAGATCGTATGTAATAAATCGTTCTATCGATATAAACAGTGCAAGATGCAAGAGCTTATCGATATAAGCAAGTATTTGCTGCTCAAGTTATATTAGCGTGTTCTGTCAGGAACTATCGATTACATCATAGTTGGTGTATAGTTATAAATTTACACAATACAATTACATAAAATACACAAGTAAACAACATTAAGTGCATTTCTAAAAATTCATATTTATAAACAAACCGACATATTGCAAATCGTTACCGTGTATTGTGCAACACTTATCGGCGTGTCAGCCAATTGTATATATACATGTATAGAAAGTTGTTTAGTGCGTTTCAACCTTTATTAAATTGTTTACATGTGCATCAAAATTATATATAGCAAACCATTTTATACTCAAGGGAAACTCTTTGAAATAATCGAACCGCGCCTTCTGACGATAGTTGGTAAGATTTACAGCACTGATGACTATTACAGCAAACGTGAATTGCCGCACGCAGAGATATCGGCGCCATTTTATTTCTCGTCGCTCGTCACTCGCTCAATTTCTATCCGCTACTCGTTGCGCCTTGGACACACGCGTTTTCCAAATCGTGATTTTTTTCGCTCTCAGTTTATTTTTTACTGTGCGAATTAAACAATTCAATCAGTTTAGCAATCAATTCGCGATATATTTATGCTGGTCAACAAATGACAAGTGCATCTAATGCCCTAGCTTTGTGCGCTCATAAATTAAATTAAGTACGTGAGTTGTGCGTTTTTTTTTTGTTGAGCCGAATGCAAAGTACGACGGCGACGCACAGTTCGACCGCAACGCGACGTTGATGTCAGTTTAAGTGTGTGAGTGTTTGTGTGTGTGCAATAAAAAAACTACAAATTGCGAAAGAGCAAAAAAGCAAGGCAAAAAAAAGGAAAAGACATATTTCTACGTTCAGCAATAAAAAAAAAACGGACGCGAGAGCCCAAAGACTGCGTAAAACATACAAAAGAGGCGCGCGGCGTGAAATGCGCTAATAAAGTAATAACAGCCCATCATTTGTTTGGGGAGGGGAGGGGTAAGTGTATGTGTGCAAACGGCTGCGTGGCTCGCATTATATACATAAGTTTAAAAATAAGTTCCAAATTGAGTAAAAAAATTAGTTAACAAATTAGTTACTAGAAAAAAATCAGAACTCGTTATAAATAGTTTAAGCAACAAAATGCTCGCTTGCACGCATAGCAAGGCCAAGCGTTTTAGTGTTAAACAAAATGAACGAAACTAAAGAAGCAAAAAAGTAAATTGAAACATAAAAAACTTGGCGATCGTGGCGCCAAAGTGCAAACTGGTGTTGGTCCAGAATCAGAAACCGCTAAAAAATTGAGTCGTGTAGTAGGCAAGAGAGCGCCGCGTGTGTTGGAATCTCATAGTGACACTCACATGCACACACACATGCAGCAGAAATACACACGTACACAAAACTCGCATTAAACACACAAATACACACGCATAAGGGGACGCTCACGCGGAATTGCAACAGTGTGACCATCTTTAATTTTAACTTTATTCTCTTCTATTCAGTTTGGCGTGCGATTGTATGCTTGTGTTCAGTGTTGCATTTTGTGCGTGCACGGGGGGCCGGCTAAAATCCAATGATGTCCGCATTTGTGGATGGCCAACAACAACCACAAGAAGAACTGCAACAACAACAAACTCAAACGCCGCGCACTCCACTAAGACTTACTAATGAAGCCGGTAACAATAATAACACCAGCAGTAGCAGTAGTGGTAGCAGCAGCAGCGGCAGCGGCAGCAAACCCAGCAGCAATAATAATGTGAGTACAGCTACAGCTGTAGCTGCTTTTACATTCGTCTGCACTTTCGATTCTAATCTTTGTCCATCATCTCCATTCTCTAGTCCATCATGGGCAAAGTAAAATTGCGCGTATCTAGTATACTTCCGGATTCTCTGAGCAAATGGTTCTCACCCAGTGCTGTTGGTAATCTAAATGACAGTGCCACAGAACAAGAATCCTCAACATCAAACTCACAGTCGTCGTCGCAACAGTCAACGGCTCAGCACAATGGCAGCGCCTTGCTGACCACACAATTCAAACCGAAACGCAGTCGTCGTCGCATACAACTGGAAGCCGATGATGCTGGTGATAATGCCGTCGATGATGGCACCAGTGCACAGGATCTGAATGAAGAGGAAGTCCAGCTGGCCGATAATATAGCCGAACATGATCTGGCCGGCGAGGATGAACAGACGCTCCGCAACGAATATAATGTTAGCCTGCTGCGTAAACGTCAATTGATAGCCAGTGACGACGACGACGATGATGATGATGAGGATGAGGAGGGCGAGGACGAGGACGACGATGAGCTCGATGAGGGCACACACCAGAATAACCATCGAATTCAGCAGGCAAATCGCAGTGTTAATTATCGCAGTAGTACGGCACAGCCGCTACAAAAACGCAAACGTATTGAGGTAAGTTATCGTTATCGATATCTGTTGTATTTTGATGCAGAGCTAACTATGTAGTTAAGCTGTCTGTAGGAGTAGCTTAATTCCCCATTTATATGCCTTAACAGCCAATCCTGTCTTTCAATTAGTTTAGCAATTTGTAATCGATAGCATTATCGAGAAAATCGATAATTATTTGATAGCGCTAATGTTGAAAAACTATTATGATTACAATTTGTCTTACCATATCCTTTGCTCCTGGCTAATTCGCAAATCCTGCCAATTTGTTTAGTTAATTGCTATCGTTAGCTGATAATTTAATGGCAATACTATTACTCCATAGATTTATCATTGCATTTTATTAGTACACCTTGTAGTCTCGATAGCTGTTAATTGAGTTTGCTTTGCTTGCAGCCGCCTGAAACTACGTTCAGCCCTCAGTTCAGCGCCCAACAACGTCGTCCTCCACAGCTGCTTTCCTCGACGCCCGCCAATAGCGAGGCTGTGCGCAGCAATGTGACACCTCATCGATTCTCGTCGCACTTGAACCTGTACGGAAATCAGCGTCAGCGGGAGCCCGCCTTCACCTTCCTGTCCACCTCGATCGGTGGCAACAGCAGCAGCATCAGCAACACCAACATCATCAACGAAGCAGCTGTTGCCACCAGCGGTGATTTGCCAATGAGGTAAGCCTTCGTCCTATCGCAATCGCAATTGCAATCTGATTTCTATACGTGAACTACTAATCTATCGTAATCTTTAATTTTCCATTCATGCAGCTCGCGACGCTCGTTGAATATTGCGCCAATGACTGAACGCCGCGAGACGGCGCTGCCCAGCTATAAGCGACAATCGCTGCTGGGTCATCGCGGCCTGACGCCCAACTGGCGCAGCTATCAGGCCATCAACGAGGAGCTGCCCATCGAGGAGCAACAGCAGCAGCAGCAGGCAAACAATAATAATAATAATACTATAAAATTAGCTAAACGTAGCACAGATTTGCAATCTGAATGCGAGAGTACTGAGAGCCAGGCAACAGCTGGACGTATGCACAACAACAACAATAATATCAACAGCGAGAACAGCATCGTCAGCCAGAATAACAATAGCAATAGCAATTCGTTATTTTATGGCAATTTACAGAGCCGCAAATCGGTATTCAAACAAAATTTGAGCTCATCAATGCTGCAACAAAACCAACATCATAATTCAACATTATCGCTCAACTCATTGAATAATCGTCGCCGTTTCAATGCCTCGATATATGGCAGCACATCGGCATTGAGCGATAGCCGACTGTTAAGCACCACCAGCAGCAACAGTAACAGTATCCTAGCTGGGAATTCACCATTCTATCAGGGACCCACCGCCTTTGGCGGCAGTTCGGCAAACAATCGTTACTTTAGTCAAGGCAATTTGACAAACATTATCAATTCTGGTGGCAGTTCGCCGGCGGCATCGAATAGCGATGGCGTTTGCAGCAACAGCAATCAGCAATCGCTTGTGGGACGTCATCATAAAATTGGCGGCAACATTGGCCGGTATGGCTTGAATTCCGTCGGTGTTCTTTACCCTGGGAATCCCTCTTCAAAGGGCGGTGTCAACGACAGCAGCGGCACCAGTGCGTCTAGCCTGTCGTACACAGCTAAACGTATACTCGATCTGCTTGAGAATCATCGCACACCTCTAATGGATGCCAAGAAAATGGGCAGCACTTTGCGTGAACATAAGATGCAGCGAACTTCTAGAAATTTAAAGAACGGCACCATCAGCAGCAACAACCATTGCAACAAACCCTACGCCTATCCAAATCATTCGATTGCCGCCACCGGCAACAACAACAGCATCTGCAACAGCACCGCTGCCGAATTAGGTTGCAAGTCGAACCTGATGGTGCCGACCATGTTGCAATTGCTTGATCGTCGTCGCTTGACTCGTGTACCGTCACGTTCTTTGACAGATACCAAGGAGCTGGACGAGCAACAGAAGCTGCATCATCGCCCACAGTCACAAGAGCAGCAAGAAATGCAACAGCCGCAGCAACAACTGACTGCAAATGCGACATCAAGCAGTTTCAATCATAGCAACAGTTCAACGAACTTGGGCTCGGGGACCCAGAATCATACGAATAAGATACGTTCACGTCTATCTCATCAGGTGCGCAAGGATGCGCGCAGTGCTGAGGAGCAAAAGATGCCACCAGCACCAATCGATTTGCCCAACATTCGTTTCCCGATGATGGCCAGTGAGCCGAAATTCGATTTGATTATTGCACCGTCGGATGGACTAGCAACGACTTCAGCCGATCAGCAAGACAAGTTGCCTGACCTCAACAACGACAACAACGATAGCAGCAGCTGCATCAACAACTATCGTCGCGGTCATTTTCTATTCGAATCACCGATTCCAGTTTTATGCGTCAATCCTAACGAGGATCCATCACAACTCCAAAAACGCATTAAGCTAGTTGCATACACATTCTCGGAGCCCTGCCCAATGGATGCCGCGAAGCTGAGTGCTGAGCCCAAAGCGTTGCAATTCAATGGTGAATCAACAACAACCACCACCACGACCACCACCAACACCACCACCACCACCGCCAGCAGCAGCACGAATAGCAAAAGCAATGATAACAAATTGCCAGAGTCAACGTCAACATTTGGATTTGGTGATCAGTTCAAGAAATCCGCCAGCGAATGGGAGTGCGAGGCGTGCATGTTGCGTAACAAGCAGGAGTTGCAGAAATGTATTGCCTGCGAATCGCCCAAGCCAACGGCAAAGCCAGCAGCTACATCGGCAACAGCAACATCAGCAACTGCTATGCCAGCAGCCACACTCGGCTTTGGGGATCGATTCAAGCAACCGAGCAACAATTGGGAGTGCAGTGCGTGCATGTTGTCGAACAAGGATGAGCGTAGCAAGTGCATTGCATGCGAGACGCCGCGCAAGACGATCAGCACTGACTGCAAAGTGAGCATCGCCAATATTGCGGGCAGCAACAGTGTTAGCAACAGCAGCAGTAGCGGCAGCAGCAACAGCAACAACAACGGCTTTGGGGATGCCTTCAAGCGTCCGTCCAATATGTGGGAATGCAGCAGTTGCATGATCCTAAGTCCGGCTACTGTTACGGAATGTCCTGCCTGTCAGACGCCAAATCCCAAGAGCAACAGCACCGCTCCCAGCACCACCAACAACACCGGCAGCAGCTTTAAGTTTGGTTTTGCCAGTGCCGAAAATGTTGAGCCGCCGAAACCAGATGCTGGCTTCCAGCAACTGATCAAGGCCCAAAAGGCGAGCACCTGGAGTTGCGAAGCGTGCATGGCGCAGAACGATGAGAGCCGTAAAAAATGCATTTGCTGTGAGCAACTGAAGCCGGGCGCAACGGCGGAAGCAGTCGGAACGGCGGATGTGCCCAAGTTTATGTTCGGCTTTCCAGCTAAATCGACAGCAGCGGAAACAACAACAACAACATCTGCTGCTGCAATAACCACGTCAGGCACAGAAACAAGCTCTGCACCAGCTACCTCGTCGTTCACATTTGGTTTTGCAGCAGCAACAACGGCTGGCAAGGATGTGGCCGATAGCAACAAGCCGCAAGCAGCAGTAACAACGACAACAACAACAGCAGCAGCAGCAGCTGCCGTTACCACCACAGCAACCGCAACAACAACAGCAACCACTGCAAACCAATTTACCTTTAAATTTGGCGCTCCAACAACAGCCAACACAGTTGGCTTTACCTTTGGTGCCTCACCGGCAGCAACAACAAGAGCAGAGCAGCAACAGCTCTCGTTAGATGCGCCAAAAGCGAGCACTGTTCTAACAGCAACAAGCAGCAGCAGCAGCGGCCTAGGCTTATTTACAGCAACAGCTGTGACGGTGACAGCAACAGCAATAGTAACAGCAACAACAACAACTGCAGCAGCACCAACATTTACATTTGGCAGCAGCATAAGTAGCACTGCAGCAACAACATCAACAACAACAAGCGCAGCAGCAGCAACCTCAACGCCTGCTACCAGCAATTTGTTAAATTTGGGTGGCTTTGTGCCAGTTGCTGTCGTCTCCAGCAGCAGCAACAACAATAACAGCAGCTTTAAACCAACAGCAACACCAATGTTTAGTTTCGGCACTAACAACAACAACAACGTTGTTAGCAGTAGCAGCAGCAGCGCAACGCCGCTAGCAGCAGCTGAAACAAAAACAACAACGGTACTCTTTGGGTCACAGACACCAACAAAAGCAGCAACAGCAACATCAACATCGATAGCCAGCTTTGCATCACCATCAGCGATAGTTACTACAGCGACTGGCTTTGGATCTGGCTCAACAGCGCCGACATTTACCTTTGGCAGTCTAGGAGCTGCAAAGACAGCAGCAACTGTGGTCAGCAGCAGCACCAACAGCAGTAGCAGCAGCAGCAGCAACAACAACACCACCACCAATAGTTTCTTCTTTGGCACGCCAGCAGCAACAACATCAGCAACAACAACTGCAGCAGCAACAATTGGCGCGCCAACAGCAGCTGGCAACAACATCTTTGGCTCCATTGGTGCCGCCAAGAGCAGCAATGCACCGACCAGCAGCAACCCAACGCCGCTGTTCACCTTTGGCAGCGCCAGCAACATGAACGCCAATGCTAATGCCAACAGCAACAACAACATTGGCAGCAGCAGCAGCAGCACCAGCTTCCCCACCTCGCCAACATTTAATTTTAGTGGTCTCAGGCCAACAGCAACATCGCTAGCAACTGGCAACAACACAACAGCTGCGACAACATCAACAGCAGCGCCGCTAAACAGCTTTGGTTGGCCCACAGCAGCAGCAGCAGCAACAACATCGAAGGCAGCAACACCATTTGCAGCCGCAACTCCTTTTGCCAATAGTCCTGCCACAAGTGCTGGAGCAGCTGCACCGTTGCACATTTTTGGCAGCGGCAGCGGCATCAGCAACAATCTGTTTGGCAGCAACACTGCAGCAACAAAAACAACAAATGCTATGCAACCGCCGTCGGTCAGTTCGCCATTCGGGGCAGCTGCGAGTCCAGGACCTGGATCATCAACGGCCCAGCCAAATGCTGGCAACGGACCCATCTCCACGCTCTTTGGCAATGTGAACAGCCCGTTCAGTTCGAATACTGGCGGAGTAGCAAATAGTGTCGGCAGCAACAGCATCACCTCGCCGTTAACAAACATATTTGGTGCCGGCAATAACACTCAGAAGCCAGCAACTGGATTAGGAGCAACAGCAACACCACCATCAACCGGAGCAACAGCACCCAAAATGGCATTTAATTTCACTCCAACCGCTACGGTGAGTGGTCTAGAATGCATTTCAATTTGTACACCAATTTAATCGTCATTCCTTGTGTGTTGGCCTTAAACAGCCCACAGCTGGTGTATTCAATTTTAGCTCGAATGCCGCCGCCGCCGCTGGCGCTGCTGGCGGCAGCAACGCGCTGCCAAAGCCGGCGTTTAACTTTACGGACGCCGCACCGCAGACGTCGGCATTTAATTTCTCAGCGAATTCAGCAACTGCTGGTAATACGGGAAGCCGCGATGTAAGTTTCTAAACACACTAACAACAACATTTAACAAAAGAACAAAATAGAAGTCATATACATTAATCAGCTTCAGCCAAGCAACACGCGTAGTAAATGGTTTAACGGAAACACAATCTAGATATCTATTTATATATATATGTATATAGATATATATATATATATATATATAAATAAATATATATATATATATATATATAAATAAATATATGTGCAATTTCTATTGTTGCTGTTAGCGGCTGTTATTTTTATTATTTGATTATATTTGATCATCTACTATTAATGTGCATGCATTTGCGGCAGTGTTGTTAAATGTCGTTAATTGTGCGTGTCTGTTTCTGTTATCGATATTTATCGATGGCACTTGCATTCACGCCATACTTTTAGTCACATATATGAACATAATATTTTCATTTTGTACTTATATTATTTTTCTTCTTGTCTTTATTTTTTATTTCTCTTCTTTCATCTGTTGATTGTTGTCCGGCTCTCTCTCTATCTCTATGTACTGTTGGAAAAATCCCCGAAAAAAAATCAAAACAAACCAAAAAAAAATCAAATGTATTCAATTGTACTATCCCCCACAATCCATCCCGCTAAAAATTATGTAAAACGTATATACCCAATTTGCGGGGACGTGGAACGGGCACGAATTCACTATAATTTTGCTGTCATATACTACCTATCTACTACTATTACTACTACCTACTACTACTACTACTACTACTGCTACTGCGCTGTACTGTGCTGTGCCGCTACTACCAATTAATGCCACCTACTGCTACTACTCCAACTATTACCACTACTATTTGAACGGGGTTGGCCTATTGAAGTCAGTAAGATCGGAACGACTTTTCCAGTTTGGGGCAACTGGGCCATCAACGGATGCTGGAGCATCATCCTCCATGATGCCAGCAACCAATAATCAAATGTTCAATTTTACCGCCACAGCTCAGCCCATGCAGGTAAAGAAAAGGAAAAATGAAAATGGACTTTGATTTGATACCTTATATAATATATATATTATTACTAATTATTCATATTTAATATATATTTAGAAATTTATTATTATGTATTTTAGAAGTATTTTGTTTAACATTTGTAAAGGATTAATTAGAATTAATTTAATATCATTTCTCACTTTGCATGGTTTTGTATCCATCCAGTGCTTGTCAAACTCCACAATATCATATCAAGTATTTCTGAATGTATGCATATGAATCTCGTTGGTGTTGGTTCTGCTTCTCTCACCTCTGCATGATGATCTGCCGACAAGCACTAAAAAAAGAAGGTTTTCACAATTAACATAACATTACACATCAAATTCTCTCTCACAAATTCCCATTTCCCCTCACTCTCATGCGCACACGAACACACAACATTACATTCGTACATTTACAGCTTTTTCTTTATTCAACACTTTTGTTAAAGTAAACCAATCACATAATTTCGCATAAACATATATACATACACACACAAAAAAAATCCCATAACAAAATATCCCAAACAATGTTGAACAGCAACAAATGATGTGCAAACTGTTAACTGGAAAGAACCGAAAAGAAGAAGATATACAAATTAAGTGCGTATATTCTTTGGCCTTTTCATTTGCGCTCATGGACACACAACAAAACTCAATTATTTAAAACAAAAAACAAAAAAATTCAAAGAACGCTTTAAAAACGAAAATCCCTTCTACCTATTCAAATATCTTTTTGCAGTCAACGCCAAGCGCCGCACCGTTCCAATTTAATGCCGGTTCGCCCGCGTCATCCAATATATTCGCGTAAGTAGTGTGACAGAGATGGCAACAGTGGCACAGCTGCTGCAATACAGATCAGAGTGAGCAGAAAATGTGTGTTAGAACGGAAGAGAAAGAGTGTTTTTGTTTAATTTGGCCTAATGTTGAATTGAGACACACGTACATACACGCACACATAAATATGTATGCAAACAAACATACACACACAGACACACAAAATAATTGAGTACTTACACAAACAATAACATGCATTATTATTAACAGTTACAAGTTTTTGCATTGCATTCGTTTTAAATAATTTTGTAAGGCACTTTTATGTTTCCCATTTAACAAAACAAATGAATAAACAATTATTTGTTTTATTTCGCACATTACAATTTGTAAATGTTTTTTAGCCATATGTCGATCATTCCTGTGTGAGTGTGTCATGTCCCTAACTAAAAATACATACATATCTGTGTGTGTGCGTGTGTATGCAAGAGAATGCAGCAAAGCAAAAAGCTCTCGTTTACTCAAAATGGCTGTGCTGCAATATTTGCGCTCTCTCTCTCTCTCTCTCTCTCTCACTCTGTTTCTCCTGCTCTCTGCATTACTCTGTATGCAAGCGGCTTACGAGCATTTCGTGATCATCCTGAATTAATAACAATTTTTCTCAGTTTCAATCCACCACCAAACGCTGGCGGCCCCATGCAGAATTCTCGCCGGAAGATGCGCGCTACAACACGTCGAATGCCGCCTCGGTAGAAATGGAAATGGGGGCAGCAACAGTAGCAGCCGCCAACGCCAACGATGACACCATGGGACAACAATCGACAACAATAGAACAGGGACGGGGATGTGAAAGTAAGGATATGGCAACGGAGCGGCAGCAACTGAGGCACAACGACAGTAACACAACGACGACAACTTGTGACGGTGGGCAGCAACAGCAGCAGCAGCAGCAGCAGCAACAAGAAGAAGTACACAGGACGACGACAGGGACGACAGAGAGCTGCTCACCTGGACAGCAAGCGCTAGTGGCGAAGCTCAGCTTGCAGCGACGCAGCAGCCGGCTGCACGCGCGCCAGCAGCCATTTTCCAATGAGCCGCTGCAACAGCGACAGTCGCAACAAAAACAACAAAGACTACTCAACAAATATCGCTTTGTGCGCAGCCCCACATCAGCAACAACAGCGACAGTAGAAGCAGCGGCGGAAGCAGCAACAACAACAGCAACGGCAGCAGCTTGCGTTGCCAGATCGTACAAAGGCAGCTTACTGAGCAAACGACCTATGCGCAAAACAAACTGCACTGCCAGCATTAACCGTAATAACAACAACAATATCGATAGCAGCAGCGCCACCAGTAGCAGCAATGTCGACGTCGCAGGCGTAGTCTCCCCAGCTTCGCCGCACATGCGTCGCAGTCGCTACAAGTTGGTGCGCCGCCGCAGCGCTGCCGACTGAAGTGGAGAGGAAAGCTGCAATGCAACGATAGTTGAAAATCAGACGACTTAGCAGAACGACAGACTGCAAACAGTTTACAACACTACTACTAATAAACAACAACAACAACAACAACAACAACAAATAGAACGGATTGACGGAAATGAACTTTTTGGAAATCATCATTATATAATATATATACATATATAAGTTTTTGTTTTCCTATGAGCCTGCGCTCTGGTCAACATGAACAGCAGCAGATATAAGCAGAAAAGAAAAAAGAACAAGATGCGCAAGTCTTATAAAATTTAGTTATCTAGTTTCATTTTTTTTTTTCTTAACTTAAATATTAAATTAATTTTTGTTGATTTGTCAAATTTTAGAACCCGAATTATACATATTATATATATATAATAATAAAACTAAAAAAAAAAAAAAAAAAAAAAAAAAAATAAAAAAATCAAGCCAGTCGGGAAAAAAAAAAACATACAAATACTTTCAAGAACCATTAATTTCCAGCAAAACAATAGAAAAAAGAAAAGTAAAAACGTAAACAACAATAGGAAACATTTGTAAATTGCCTTGTGTATTTTAAATTTTGTTTATTACTTTATTTTTGAATATATATATGATGCGCTTTTATAAACATAAATAAATATTAAACATACGTATTTATAAAACAGAAAACTAAACGATAATTATGTAATAATTATGTTGTGAAATTGTAAAGAACATGTTAAGGAAGAGAGACGCAGTGAAGAAGAAAGTCAAGAAATAGCGCAAAAAGAAAACGATATATATATATATATATACATAATATATATGTTAAATGGATTAATTTGTTTAGACAATTTTTTAAGTGCAACTATATTTTGTTGGCGCTGCATAACGGTTATCTAGGCAAGAAAAAACAAAAGGCAAAAAAACAAAGCAACTTATGAAGAAAGTATAAAATAGTTTATGTTGTTAAATCAGTTAAGATTCAATTCGTAAACTTCCGTTTCCGTCTCTGAAAATTCAGGAAACTCTAAACATCAGCCCAAACAAAATCAACTTACTATATATAAAAATATATAGTTAAGCAACAACTACAATTATAAAAGCGTGTTTTTTACAAAACGATCAAAATGAAAAAACAGAAGTGACAAAAAAAAACTGGAACCCGAAGTCTTAGAGTTAAGCATTAAAAAAAAAACATGGACAGTTGAAAAATGGAAATCATAAATGTAAATAAGTAAATATAAACGGTATGATAATTAAAAACGTGAAAAAAAAATAAAATAAAATCGTCTTTGTTAATAAATTCATTTGCAGAATTCGAATTCAAAAACATATTGGTTACAGAGCGCGCAAAGTCCATAATTTGATAGGCAGCACTGTAAGTACACTGCAGCAGTAAAACTGCTTTGATTTTGACGACAAACAGTGGTGCCAAACTAGGGATGCAGCAATTACATATTCAATTTTATCGTTTTGCTTTGAGCACAGCTTCAAATTCGAATCAAATTTATTATATTAATGTTTTGTTGATAACAAAAAAAAAAAAATAATAATAATAATAATACAAAATCATAAATACAGTTTAATTGGTATGTAATACCGAAATTAAATTTGTACTTACTTGAATTTAACAAAGTTCGGCGTGTCGACATTATTATAATAATAACATATATATCTATAGCTATTTTAAAAGTATTCCACATTTGCACATAACATTTATAACAAATTTATACGGGAACAATATTTGACGGTTACTTTTGATAAATTTATAAAAGCTAACGTAGTGTTTTTAACGATATAGTGGTTTATATCGATATTCTGGGTATGCGATACATGGCTTTGTCTTATTAGACCAATTTAAGTTTGATTTATTCTGTGGGCTCGTGACTTTTGTAAGCAGTTAATTTCCTATACACAATTCGATATCATTTTCAAAAGTATCTTATTTACTGTATTAAAAAGAAACGATTAGCTTACGATATCTATTTTGATAGCAGATACGATATCTTCGTGATAGAAAATTATCTCAATGTGTCTGCCATATCGATAGATATCGCTGCGATATCAACATCCCCAGTAACAGAAAAACGCACGACAAACAGAAGTTCGTGGAAATTACGCACGGGTGTTTTTACGTAGCTCTATAGTACTATTTGTTTATTTTTTTCGGTTCTAGCATAAATGATGCACACATGCATATGCAAATAGATTAAGTGTAATTTGTGTACAAATATAAATGCAATTCAAAATGTTAGTTTTTAAGATGGATATCAAATGCAATCAGCGCAGCAGCGACCGAAGCAGCGGCAATAGCAACAACCACAACAACAGCAACATCAACATCAACAAGGCTGACTGACTACACCCAAAAACGCATCAAGAAAAAGCACCAGCAGCGCATAAAGGAAACAGTTGGAGGCGAGGAATAACAAAACGACAGGAAAAATGAAGTAAAAGCGACCAGCAGCAAACGGAACGGCACTTTAGTTGCAGTTGTAGTGGAGTGCACACACACACACACAAACGCACGCACAAACACAGGCATTAATATACATACACACAAACGTACATAAATATACAAATAAAAGCAACATACAAAGAGACATTTACATGCATGTGTGTGGGTGTAGCAGCCGCAGCAGCAGCCCAGCTTTAGCGTAATAACTTCGTGCTCGTTCGGCAGTCGTCGTTTGTCTTTCGTTGTTGCTCGCTCGCTGGCGGGTTCATTCGTTCGTACGTTGTGTTCGCATGCTCGTTTAATCGTGTTGTTGGAGTAACAGCATCGCCTACGCAGCAGCAGTAATAGCGGCAACAACGACAGGCGAAGGAAGCGGTTTAAGAATGCATGGGCATGCACAAAGTACGATGCACGAATCACGAAACACGACAAATGCAAGGAACACAAGAGAAATGCAAATTTAACAGATATTGAAATAAGTGCAACGGGTTTCCTATTCCAATTCCGATTGCAATCCCACATCGCATTGTAATTCAAAACGCAGTCGCAAATTTATGCCAAACTGATCAAAAGCGGTCGCGCGCGATATATATACGTATGAAAGTAAAGAGAGAAAGAGAGAGAGTGTGAGACTTGTAAAGAGTAAACGAAGGAACAAACAAGAAGAGAGCGGACAAGCGCCGTTAAATCGGATCACGTCCATTTTGGCCATAGCTGCAGTTCCTTTGTTATTGGATTTGTTATACACCAATTGCTGCTTCTGCCTCCTGCTTGGGACGTCGACGTCGTAATATGGATTGTGGTGCTCTTGCCGCGCAGCAGCAGCAACTGATACAACAGCAACAGCTACAAAATACACAACAACAACAACATCTTCGGCAGCACCCACGACAACAAAGTACGCTAAATTGCCTGGAAGCAACAACAAATGTAAGTTTACACGCACACTTACGTATGTATGTACATATGTATATACATATATATATATGTATGTATGTCGGTTTGGATGTATTTCTCTTTTACTTCCACTTCGCATTCGCCCCCACACACAAACATATGCACATATAACCCGTTGCGCTGCGTTTCGGTGCCTGCGTCGCAGTCGACAACGCAGCCGTCAGCTGAGTTTGCTCTTCATGCAGTTTATTGGTTTTCTTATTAGATATTTTTCATATGAGTAACTTTGACAGCGACGCTGGCAGCGATGTCGCAGTCGCTGCTGCGGCAATTGTCTTTAAATGCGTGTGGGCTGCCAAGGGGGCGTGGCTATAGCCATGTGCATAAATAATTTAATATTTCGATGGAAGGTGTGTGTGTGTGTGTGTGCTTGAGAAACAGTGAGGGGAGTGGAGGGCAGGTATGCAAAACGCAAAAGTCGAAAGAGAAAAAATAAAAACAAAATAAATTAAAACAGGGCAACTAGGGAAACGAATGACTCAAAGACTAACCAACTGATGATTAATCTCTACAGTATCTGGCTAAATAAATGCCCAAACAACACAGCGCTTGCTGTGGACAGGAAGTTCACTACTAAATACCCTGTAAAAAATCGAATTGAAAATTTGATTTGGGATAGGATTTGATATAGTCCTTTCGAAGTGTGTAACAATTATAAATAAAATAAAAACAATACATAATAGATAATATGAAAAGAAAATCAAAAAGTTATTTAATAATTCTAAATATAAAATTCTGAATTATTTACTTATGAAAATGAAAACAATGAAGTTTATAAATAAACCTTTATTAATATCCATTTAGTACATTTAGATAGGGTATATCTATACAACCAACATGGCAATCAGAGTCGAGAAGTACCAACGCTTTAATTGCCGATTTGTACATGGTACGAACTTTTGCCCATTACTTTCACCGTGCATGATTCTAAACCAAAAACAACACCAAAAAAG